ATTCGTAACCATGGATGAGACTTGGGTTTACCACTATGATCCGAAGCTGCGACAACAAACTGCAGAGTGGACAGAACCCGGTTGTTCAGCTCCGAAGCAAGTGAAGGCGTCAAAATCGTCAAAGAAGGTTATGGCATCAGTTTTTTGGGATGCGAAAGGAATTTTATTAATAGATTACCTTCAAACCGGTAAAACGATAACAGGTGAATATTATAAAAATCTTTTGGACCAGTTGGATAAAAAAATTCGTGAGAAAAGACCTGGTTTGCTGCATAAAAAAATCATTTATCACCAGGACAACGCACCTGCTCATATCAGCGATGTTGCAAAGGCGAAATTGGTCGAATTAAAGTACGAACGCTTGGAACATCCACCCTATTCACCAGATCTGGCTCCGTCCGACTTCCACCTCTTTCCACATCTCAAAAAATTTCTACGTGGAAAGCGTTTCTCATCACATGAAGAAGTCATTGCAGCCGTAAATGGGTATTTTGAAGGCCTTCCGGAATCGCACTTCAGAGATGGGATACATGAATTGGAGAATCGTTGGAAAAAGTGTATTGCTCTTAAGGGAGAATATACTGAAGAATAAAGTCATTTTTTGAATCATAAAATTGTTTTTTCATTTCCGCTCCGCGAACTTTTCAACCAACCTAGTATATATATATATATATATATATATATATATATATATATATATATATATATATATATATATATATATATATATATATATATATATATATATATATATATATATATATGTAAGTGTTTATATATGAATAGAAAAAAATATCTTTATATAATCTTTATATTATTAAGCACTCTTTTACTTATACAATATTATATATGATAATATAAATGATAATGCTTTGTATTATCATTTATATTATCATGTATAATATTGTATAAGTAAAAGAGTGCTTAATAATATAAAGATTATATAAAGATATTTTTTTTCATGGACTTTTTGTATTTAACATTACTGAATGATAATTTGTGGTTGTTATATCTGGTTTTCCAATCACCTTCTGTTAATCCACTAAAAACTTTGTTAGGTTGGTTTTTAGCTGTGATGATGCATTTGTTGTATATAATGTTTGTGGATTTGCACTTGCTATTGCACTTGTTTGTGGATTTGTTATTAAGCTCTGGCGAATAGTGCTTTCAATAAATGAATAGCAAATAGTAAATAGTAACGTCGTTTAACTTCAATAAAAAAGTTTAACAAATATTAGTCTTTGATCTAAAACTGTATTATATTGAATAGCGAATATTCGAATTAATTTGCTCAACAAAGTTTAATGTATATATTTGTCTTTAAAAAAATAGTTTTTGCGCTTAATGAAGCTTAATTGTTTTATTGCTATTACTAAATACTAACATTTTTGAAAGATCCTTTAAATTTTGAAATATTTTGAAAAGAAACTAAAAACAGATAATATATTTTTACATATATTAATTTCAAAATTTAAATTACAATAACATGAAACTGATATGATTATTGAATTGTTTTCGTAATATTTTGACTTTTCACCGCGTTCTCAATTTATGTTCCACATGTGGATAGTTTTGAGCTATGTATATCAGCTTCTCAACATTAGTTGTGTTGAGATTTGATCTTGTCCAAGTGAAGACCTGGCCAGCTCCAGAAAAATAATTTCTGATAAAGCTGATGATCCAGGAATGCTAAATATTTTCCTAACAGTAGTAACTAGCTTTGGATATTCACTTACCATGCTCTTCCACCATGGTAAAGAATCAGCCCCTAAACTTGCCATAGGAGCTGCCAAAAAAAGTTTAAGCTCTACATTTATGTCAATTGTCTTTTTGGTCATAGTTCTTGCACAAGTATCTAATTGATTCATAGTTTGCAAAGCTTGAACAGAGAAGTCTATGTCATCAGATTCTTGACTTGGTGGTGAGTCAAGAAGAGAAGTTGAATTAATTGCTTTAACTTGGTCATTGTTGTTGGTTGCCACTTCATCAATGCATTTAATGCAGTCTTTTGTGAGAGAAAATTTTTTTTTTTAGATTGAGAAGTCTACCTTTTTAGCACAGGTCAACCATGTGAGCAATGGAATATGTGGAATCTTCCATGCCACCTTCTGGATAGTATTTCATTATATTTTTATTAATAGCAGTTCCAAACTGCCTGATGTACTTTATTTTTTTTTTGTCACAAAGTCGAATTGTGGCATAGGTGTGAAGATTGTAGATTCCTTGGATGATCAGGTGAACTTTAGAAATTTTGTCAGCAGAAATTTTTATTGAAAAGACAAAAATTGTTTGAAGAACTGGTAAGATTTCTTTTAATACTTCGAAATGGGTGTTGTTTGGGACTTTATCCACAATTGTGTGTCCTTTTCCCACTTTAGTGGGAAAAGGACACACAATTGTCCTTTTCCCACTAAAGTCCTTTAATGCTTCTTTGATATCTAGAACTAACTTAACACACATAAACTGACTGTTCCTTCTTGTCTTGCATGGCAAGATGACTTTTTTGAAGTTATTTTTTAGGTCAGCACAAGTCTTTTTCATTTTGGTACTCGACAGAGTACTTCAATGGAGGTGAGCTGCTAAGTCACAACATTTTTTGACAGCTTCTTTGATAAGGTCAATTTTGTCAATGCTTTTTACGACAATTAAGTGCAAAGTGTGATCAGCACAGTAAATCTCTGTTTGCAATTCTAGGCTTTTTTCAACAGCTAAGACGACATTTGAACCTTGGGAAGAAGGTTGAGACCTTCAATTAGGGAATCAAGCTGGATTGCAGTTGCTTGGCCAGTGTGCCTTTCCTCTCTGAATGGCACACTGGGCTAGCAACTGCAATCCAGCTTGATACCCTTACTACATCTCAATAAAACTAAATCATTTCCATTCCAACAAGAAATGATTTAGTTTTATTGAGATGTAGTGACATGTCAAAGCACTGTAAGAGTCATTATTTCTGCTGATCCACATGTCTGTAGTAAATGCTACACCTGTGAGTTTTTTTACTTTGCAATATAATTCAAGGAGGTATTTCCAATAATAACTTGTAGAGACTTTGATTGTGAGTTTTGAGTCAATTCATTCAATAAATCTAACAAAACCATCTGTTTTCTTTTGTATTTTTAATTTTCTTTTTAATGGCTTTTATGTACGTTCTTAAGGGAATTCTTTTGTACGAGAATAAGGTCCAAATTATTAATGATTTGCACACAAATAATGGAATTATTTGTGTGCAAATCATTAATAATTTCTACAGAGAATTATACAAAGTTCTATTAATGTGCTAAGTGATTGTTAATATGTCTAAAGAAAACATTTTTGTAGCAATTATTAAACAAACAAAGTAGCAAAAACCAGTTTTTAACTTTAAACCAACTTTTAAATTTTTAACGAATAGTGGAACGAATAGTACTTGTTGAACAAAGTTTTATGGAGACTGAATATTCGGTCATCTTTGTATTCAAAGTTAGATGATTATTTGGTATTCGGTATCGGAAAGAATTCGTTTAGCGAAGTTAAATGAACTTTGCCGATGCTTATTTGTTATAGCACATTTTTGTGGATTTGTTATTGCACTTGTTTGTATATAATGTTTGTGGATTTGCACTTGTTTTTTGCACTTGTTAAATACAAAAAGTCATCGCCCTATCAAACTACAACTGGGATTTCAAAAACAATTTTAACTATATAATATATACACTTTTTTTTTTTATAAGAAACAAAGCAAACAGGTTAGTAATAAAAAGTTTCTTAAAATTATCTTTAATTTCAGATTATAAAAATATTGAAAAAGTAAATAAAATACATTTTACATACTCTGTTTTTTATAATATACCAAACAAATTAGAATACATGTTATTAAGTTATATAAAATGCTTTTTATTAAATCAACTAAAATTAGTTGAGTTCCGTTAATATCATTCAAATAATCTTCAGATTCGTCCTTAAACAGAACACAATATTTTTCTAATTTTGTGTTATACCACGTAATTCTACAAATTTACCACCCTTCGTAATATCCGCAAATCTCTCGGCTAACCAAATAGTTTTCAAAAACCCAGTTATTCATTTGCTCCAATATATCTAAATCAACCTCTGTTGATTCTGGCCCTTCTTCTTTTAACATGTCTTTGGACTCTTTCGCAGGTATAGTGGAGCATATTTCATGGGTTCCATGGTGGAGCACATTTCATGGGTTCCATGGTAACCAGTTTTCATGGTTAAACTATGACCAGTTTTTTAATCTTCTTGTTATTCACACTATCGAGTCGAAAATAATTAGTATAACTTTTTGAATCTATACAAATCAACGTAGATTTCTGGTCCCAAGTGTTGTGCATTTTATGACCTGCGTTTGAGTTTCATACATCCATTACATCTTTTCATTTCATTTCATACATTCATTACATCCAAATATGTCAAGCTTTCTTCAGCAAACAAAGGATCATAAATATTAACAAAGGTGTCTCGATGTTTCATATTTTTACTAAGTTATATTAAAATAATTTTTTAAAAACTTTGTGTAAAGTTGATGTGGTGTTTTGTGTAGATAATAACTATAACTAATGCTAATTATAAAATAATGAAAATTAGTAAATATTCTCTTAAATAAGTAAATTGTAAAAAAAAAAAACTAAAAGTAAATTAGATTATTAATAAAAGATTTTTTGCTGACCTTCAACATTTCAAAGTTGGCAGTTAGGTCGGCATTGCCGAATGCCAACCCCAGGTCCAAGGGCTGATATATATATACATATATATATATATATAATAATATATATAAAATTAAAATAATAAATTATATATATATATATATAAATATATAGAATAATATATATAAAATTAAAATAATAAATTATATATATATATATATATATATATATATATATATATATATATATATATATATATATATATATATATATATATATATATATATATATATATAATAATTATTTCACATAGTAATTGTTATGTAGTAGTAGAAAATCTATTTCTTTTAAAAGAATGACCAAGTTCATCGAGAGAAAAAAAGAAGATTTAAAGAGTTATCAGACAGCTCAGATTCTGTAAGATTTTTAAATTCTTTAATAAGCATTTAATCATTAATCAATCACATCATCAATCAATCATAGTTAAAATTATATGGTTTTTGATTTTTTCATTTTTCATTAGTTTTTTTTAAGAATATTTACTCTTTTCATTAAAATTATCATTTAATTATTAATTTGTTACCGTTGTGGTTTGTATTAATTGGCTCCCATTGTCATAGTTTATAGTAATTGTTTAATACATATTTATATCTTAATACATTGAAACTAAAAAGTTTCACATTAGATTGACATTTCAGTTTATTTTTTTTAATCTTAATTATTGATTTCAATTATTAGTTGTTGTTGACTATTAATTATTGCTATTATACCTAAAAACAAATATAAACAATAAGCCCTTAACAACATAGTCAAAGTCAATAACAACACTAGATATTACATAAAATAAAGAATAAATTTATATAATATTATAGTTATAATATAATTAACATAATAAAATTAAATATAGAATGCTTACAACATATATTAATGCTCATGATCTTGTTCTGTTGTTTATTTAATTAAATTTTTTTCTCAGGTTAATACATCACTCACTACGTCTACTGGAAAATTATTAACAAACTATCTCACGTTGTCACCTGTATTGGAGCAAGAGCCAAATGAGCAAGAAACAGATGATGTATTTATTACTGTTAAATCAACTGAACTTTTTATTCTTGTTTTGATACTATAAAAACTATAAAGATGGTTGCTATTGTCGAATATATAAAAGAGTTCAAATAAAAAAATTTAAGTTTAAAATGTAAAAATGTAATCAATATAAATTGATCTATTTCTAGTTTCTAAATTTAAAGAATTTTAGATTTTAAAAATTATATTTACATTTTGAAGTTTGACAGCAGTGAAATATGCAAGTATTCTTACCACTGCTTTTTTTGTGCTAATGTTTTAAGCTTCTTTTTTTTTAGTTGCTGATACCTCAGAAAGATCATTGTTATTCAGCTCCCTGTCAAAACAATACTGAACAAATGCCCAATGATAAAATTCCAGATGATAAGATACCTATTGATAAAATACCTCTTGAAGAACATGTTAAAAAAAAGAGTCTCAAAGTTAAACGAGCTACTGCAAAAAAAATGGTAACAAATTAATGATTTTTTTTCAAATATATTATTGTTATTAGAAATTTTTATATTGAAAGTAAATTGACAGTTTACATAAAGTGTTATTATTAATATTAATTTATAATTTATTATAATTATATATAATTTATAAATTGTAATTTATTATAATTATTATAACAAAGTGTATTTGCTCAAATATCACTATGTGTTGACTATATCAGTGAATTAATGAGATTTTGACAAATTTGGCTTTAATATAGTTAAATATGGGTTATACATGAAATGCACTTTTTATTAGGTTCTACTTTATACTAATATTAGTACTCATAGTAATTAAAGTACTAGTAAATACTGTTAAAGATACAAAATAAAAGTTTTTATATACTTGTTATATAACAATTTATTTATTATTTGTTGTAACCTGTTATATATTAATACTAAATATAATGCTGTTGCTGCTGCTGTCGTTGCTCATTTGTGTGTGTTTGACACGAAACTCATGGCAGCCATTACACTGGAATTAATAAGGAGAAAGAGTCGTAACACTTTGTATATACTTTTTTCATATTTTTTTTTACCTTATCTTTGTATATTTATTCAGATTTGTGTTATAATGTGTGAATGAGGCTCTGTTGGTCACTTTTTGCAATCATTGTGTTGCATAAACAAAAAAAAAAATATTCTTTGTGGCTGGTGAGCCCTGACTTTTTCCAATATACACCACAACGACAAAACGGACATTAGGCTATCCTGCTGGATGTGGTTATGGCGCTCAATAACCTAATGACTACGCTGATACTCACGCACAAGTTCAGTTGGAAGCTCCACAATGCACATCGGATCAGCGCTCACTGACTATGTGCTTGGATCTAAAATCTCACTCCATAACAACGCGAAAATTTTACACAAAAGTATGGCGTATTTTTATAACAAATGTGTTCTTGGTTGGAATATACTGAGCAATTCTGCTAGATAAGTTTAGACTTTTAACGATCTCGTTAGATTTTTTTCTGTCTAATTTTTTCAATCTGACGTTGCTAAGTTTGTTGTGGTTTGCACTATACAGTTTTCACTCCTTTTGTCATTTTGTCAACAATATTGTTTTTTACGTTACATTTTGTAGTGGTTATAAGCTGTTAGTAAAAAATAGTATATAATGTCTCATCTCTTTATTTCCTCTCTGCTTTATTATTCTCTGCCTACTGGTTTAATGTTTGTATATTTTTTTTTATCTCTGGCTAATTGTTGTTTAATTACTCTGAGTCTATTTTGTGTGATTTATAATACATATCTCAGCCATAAAAGAAACGGTAAGTTATTATTAATTACTATTTTCTATTCGCTTTGTGTTATTTATGCACATTATAATTGTTTATTTTAATATACATACGCATACATGCATGTGTAAAAGTTATATAGTAACACATTTATTAGACATTTATATGGTCCAATATTGCTAGTCAATATTGGACCATATATAGTAACACATTTATTAGACATTTGTATGGTGAGATTATTTTAGTGGATACCATTAATAAACCAGCGGATTTTTATTAACTTGTTTACTCATAGATCATTGTTTTATCATTTGCTTAAGATGACTAGAGTGTGAGTTTTGGTTCCTCTCTTACCGAGTTGCTAATTTTTACTCCTCTTACTAAATAGTCTTTACATTAATTTATGTTTTTTTACCTAAATGATATCATCTTCGATCTGTTTTTATTTTCACATCTCTCAGGTCTACCTAACTGGACGGCTCTGTTGGTCACTTTTTTGCGATCATTGTGTTGCATAAACAAAATAAAAAAATTTAATATACTTGTTATATAACAATTTATTTATTATTTGTTATAATCTGTTATATATTAATACTAAATATAATGCTGTCGCAGCTGTTTTTGTTGCTTATTTGTGTGTGTTTTACAGGAAACTCATGACAGCCATTACACTGGAATTAATAACGAGAAAGAGTCATAACATTTTTTTTTATAAGAAACTGTAAATATCTAACTTATGTAAACTTCAAATTATGTAATGTTAAAACATATATCAAGTTTCACAGTTTTAATATTTCCTTTTAAATTGAACTGCTGCAATATTTTCTTAAATTTAATTTATACCTTTTTGATTTGCTGTTAAATAAAGTTAAAGTTTTTTGCTTAATAAATAATGTTAAAAACTTTAGATATAGTATGCCTGAGCTCACTGCCCTTCCCATGTGCATCTTGTGGGTCCAAATACTTTTGCTTGCACATTTTTTTTTTTTTTAATCTTTTCAAATTTTTTAAAACAAAGTAAAACATTTTTAAAGTTCTATAGATATTATATGCATAACATATTTAATGATATGATATTATATACTATAATAAACAAATGGGACAGAATTTTTAAAAAAGTTTGAAGTTTCTAAAAACATCAACACATTGAGAGAAATTTTTTACGTATAAGTCACGTTGAAAATCACAAACTGAAGAGACAACTTTCTTTCTTATAAGAAACAGATTTTACATTCAAACTTTTATTTTCTTCAAAATTAATTGACATGGCGAAGGTCCTAATAAGCAGCAAATTTTTAGGTAAAACCTTTGTAGCATTTTTTTTTTTTTCTGGCCTGATGCCGACCTTAACAGAAAAAAGTGGGCAAAATATTGTTGATTTCATTTTTCCTAATTCCGAAGGCTGAGTAACCCAGTCTCTGTGTTTTTTTATAGAAGTTTACAATTTTACAATAAGAAGTTATTAAGTATTAAACATCAATCATTAATTCAAAACAAGGGTTTTAAAATTTTTTATTTTCTACTAAAAATTTTATTTCTTACTAAAAATAATTAAAATAAAACCACTATATAAAGTACAGAAAAAGTACAAGAATAGATAGACTATGACCCATATTATATAGGTCAGGGTAAGCCCATTATTCCACATATTTTAAAGTCTATTTTCACATATTTTTTAAACATTTTGTACCAATTAAAATCATTCAAAACATTTCAAGTGGTTAAAAATATATTCAAAATATAATTTAAAAAGGTACTAATACCAAAAAAAATTTAAAGTTAATAATTGTTTTTTTTTGTTAATAATTGTAAAAATTTAAAGTTAATAATTGTTTTTTTATATATATATATATATATATATATATATATATATATATATATATATATATATATAATTATTTTTCTACTGTTTATTATAAAATATTGAAATAAAGAGTAAGTATAGAAATAGTCATATATAAGTATAGAGTAGACTATTATCATATAAAAGTATAGAATAGGCTATTTCTATACTTATATATTTTTATATTAAGGGTCCAGACAGCTTTTATAGTTAAATATTATAGTTTTTTTTTGTAAAGAAATATAGATTAGTTTAAAATTAGATTAGGGATACAGTTTTTTTCTTATGTCAAAGTGAATGGTTGGGGGAATATTTTGAATTTTACACACACACCCTTCTGTTAAAACCAATGCCGCAACAATGATTGATATTTTTAGATATCAATTTGTTTGTGCAACAAAATGTTTTATTCAAAGATAAGAAGTTGACTTAAAATAGCGTCTCATTGTAAAATACATTTCTTTGCCAACATGAATTTGGTAGTGGAATTAACTTACTTTACTTAACTACTTTAGTTACGCTAAAAAAACCTGTTTTGTTATATTTTAGTTTTTGATCAACGTTCGAGTTGCTATGCTATTTGTAAATATTAATTTAAAATTGTTTTGAAGTATTTTAAATATTTAGTAACTATATTTTAGTAATTTTAGTTTTAGTAGTTATGTTCAAAATGATTTAAACAATTACAAATAGTGTTTACAAAATTAAAATAATAGTAATTAAGCTTAAATGCTTATGTCTTATATTTGAATAATATTTAAAAAAAATATTTGTATACAAAACTCAAATGTTTAATAAACATAATTAGTGCAGTAAATTTCCAGTCGAACACACATTAACTTCTTTTTTTTTAACATCTTTGCTTCCAACAAGGCTGCAAGCAACTACTATTAGAGTTGGAAGTTACTGAAAGAGAAAAGATGAAGTTTAGAGAGCATGATAACTATTAACAGACGACTGCAAATTATATGAATCAGGAAAGCAAGATAAAGGAAGCGAATTCCAAAGAACTGATGTTTAAGGATAAAAACTAGAAGGAGGAATAAAAATTTTGGGAGCACTTAGGAATAGTCACATAAAAAAGATGAGATTTAATTGAATAAGTAATAGGAGAATGAATTTTAATAAATAGCACAAGATACGCTAGCTCTTTAGAGTTGTGACCATTATAGTATTTGTAAAAAAGAGAAAGAGACACAACATTACGACGATGTGATAATGGTTGGAGGTTGGCTGCAAGAGCAGGTTTAACTATGATTACAATGCATTTTTGCACCTTGTCTAAAAGAGAAAGGGCATCATTTGAAGATCTGTCCCAGAAATAATATTCCATAAAAGGGCAAGATTTGAGATTTCTAAAGATAAAGTATAGAATCCTGAGAAATAAATTGTTGAGAATAAATTGCAACCTTAGCAAATGCTAATTTTGCATTGGATTTAATATATAGTTTCCAAGAAATATCGTAAGTAAAAGTTAATCCTAGAAGATGAAGGTTAGATGACTTGCCCGATACATCACCGTTTATAAATATAGGAAGATTTAAATTATTGTGGTAATGATTGGCTGGGTTTTTTCTGAATTAAAGTTCACCAACCACTGTGAGCCCCATGCTGTAGCAGAAGAGAGATCCTTTTCAAGCTCAAATGCTCCCCTAAGAAGAAAACTTATGGAGAAGACCACTATGCCAAACTTTATCAAAAGCTTTAGAAATGTCAAGAGCGGTAACCTTTCCACCTTTATCTAATTTACAATAAAATCAATCAGTTATTACTGTTAGCAAATCAGCTGTAGACCGAGAAGATCAAAATCTATATTGATGATCAGAAAGTAAGTTATTAGATTCAAGATAAAAGATTAAGTGTCCGTTAAATAAAGATTCTAAAATCTTGCTTAT